AGGAATGCAGAGGATTAAAACAGAGCCACAGGGGGAACAGCAGATGGTGTAATGGACTGAACTCCCATGTAGTCAACTGTGGCACAAGTCCCAGATCCAGTGACTAAAGCTAATGCCGGGCACATGTGCGTGTGTGCCCAATATCCCAAGAGTAGACTGTAGGAGAAGGAATTGTGGTGTGGACATCCCCCTTGGAGGTGATTTCTCACTGTCTATCTGTCTCTTTCTGGTGAGCACATGCTCGCAACAGCAAAAACAGAAAAACAAAAACAAAACCAAAAACAGAGCCATAGATTGTATGTTCATGGAAAAATGGGCTCAGAATTCAATATTTAAACCAGCAGTGTTACGTGATGGGACGAGAGTAAGAGTTGGTATACATAGGCTGTGGGAGACTTTGAATACCAGGCGGAGTACATGCTTGCATTCATTTCACAGGGAACTATAGACAGTTTTCTGAATTGGAGCAGGTCCTTCATGTAAATGAGTGTAGGATGATGATACCCAGAATACCACTACCCTCCTAAGTTTGGAATGAAAGTGAGCAGGAAAAACAGTGACAATACACATCTTTAATGCACTAGATATCTGGGGAGATGAAAGATGAAAGATGCATATTGTAGTTGGAGAAAATTTTAGTTCAACTATGAGGCATCTTCATACAATTATGCAGCATCATTAATACACACAGCACTTTAGGGTTGCTGATGTGAAAAGGAACTAGACATTAGGAGCAGTGATTTTGTTAATTAGGATAATTCAATATCAATTTAAATGTGAACATGAACAAAAATATAAACTGTATTTTAAATATTTTTCATTGCTGGTGAGAAAGGGAGAAAGCACCCCTGTCCCCCCATTGGTGTGCAGTCATGCTGCAATCTCTTCTCCACTTCTCTATCCTGTCAGTATTTGGGACACACATACATGGGATATCTGTACACCCCATGTGGTTTTCAAGCTACTGGGGCTGACACTCAAGCCATAGTTAGCCAGGCAGGGTCTGGCTTCATGGGGCCTATGGGGCATTATTTTAAGAAAGAGGTTAAATATAGGAAATATGCTTTGCTTCTTCACTACTTTTGTTCTGATGTGGAATTCAGTGCTTACACTTAGAATCTGATGGAAGGTGAAAGAAGGAGAAAGAGACACTCTATTATCTTTTAAACAAAAAATAAAATATACTTTATATTTTTTTAAATATAAAATTTATAATTTTTTAAAAATTTTTTTTTAAATTGAAGTGGACCAGCAGGTGGCAAGGAGGTTAAGGTGCTGGATCCCAGATGGCCAACCTATGTTTCAAGTCCCAGACCCTGTGGCTTAAAGAATTACGCTGGCCTGTGTGCATGTGCACCCAAAATCCCAAGAGGAGAATGGAAGAAAAGGGACTGTGGCATGGCCTTCCTCTTGGAGGGGTGATTTCTCACTTTCCTTTTCTCTCTCCCTTTACTTCTCTCTGGTGAGTGCACACACCCTATAGAGCAAGAGAAAAACAAACAAACAAAAACAAAAAGAAACAAAAGCAGAAAACTTGACCCCCAAAAAAACAAAAACAAAAAATTGTATTTTAAGAGTAGATTGCTACTAGTAAAATACTCTAAGAAATGCACTGTCCCAGTTGTATTCCCGGTCTAGACCATCAGAGTTCCTTAGAGAAAGGCATTTGGCTGGAAATTTGGAAACCACATCTCAATTTGAATTCCTCCCAAATTTATGTTAGCTACTGAGCTATTCCTAGCTTCTCATTATAATGTGATTTCACAGATAAGAAGCAATTAAACTAAACATATGTGGACAAGTGATGTAAAAAAATGGAATCGCACGATACTGTAGGAGGCCTCTGAGGAGGCCATTTTAACTCACCACGCACTCCCCTCGCACGCATATGCTGTACGGATCCTTGTAGGAACAGCGTGTTCCGTCATGTACCAGCTGTTTCATATACACAACAGCTCCCGTCTCTCTGGATTGACAGTACAGGTGGCATCTTTTCCTGGCTGCATAAGATAGAAGACAGAAGTAACTACTGACATAAAGTGGAATCTTGAACCACAGGATTGATTGTTCAAACACAAGGTTTAAATACCCTTTCCCAAAAACAAAAGGAATTCTGCACAAATAAATAAAATACAGTGTAAGAAATGCTTGCAAAAATGTATGAATGTGTATTTGGCCAGTCTGTTTTAATCAGGATGACCATGTGATTAGTTATCTAAATTGAGATACTCCTAGGAAAAGGGGCTCTACTGACCCCCGAGCAGGGATAACAGATATAAAGTGAGACTGTCTCCAGCAAACCAGGCTGTGTGACAACCGGAGATTTCACCGTAGTTCTGTGATAAACTGTAATTCTAAAGCAGTTTTGCTTTACTCATTGTTTGAGTGCTAAAATCATTTCAATTTGGTTTGGCCCAATCAACTCAGTTTTTGCCTGTTGAAGGATTTCATTAATCAAATATAATATAATTTATGGCATGAAGTGTGTTCATGCTGGGTAAATTCATTTTACAAGCTAAAGGATGTATACTGATTGAATGTATAAAATAAATTAAAATAAAACATTTATGTGACTCACTTTACCAAAATAAATAAAAGTAATGCATTGCTTCTTAATCGTAGTTATCTTAATTTCTTCTTTTAATTCCTATATACATTCACCTTTCTTTTTTAAAAAATAATTATTTTATTTTATTTTATTTATTCATTAATTTTATTTTAATTTGACCACACATATATACAGAGTCAGAGAGAGAGAGAAAGTGAGAAAACAAACTGCCAGGTTCGGGACGTGAACCACGGTCAGCCATGTAGAAATATTTGTCTAGTAAATAATGGCCTTTTTCTTGGTCCTGACTCAATTGTAAAAGAACTGTATTTTTCTTTAGTCATTGGGAAAGGAAAGATAAAATAGTCCAGCAGCATTTCTTACTATAGATTTTAATTGAATCAGGAAATGCAACATCTCTTCCAGGTGTTAGTTGCCACTGGTCTTTTCACTGATGACGATGACAGTGCTGTTTGCCAGGAATTACTCTACAGTTCTTATCTCTCTAGAGACAAGAGTACATCAGTCTTGGGGCCAGCAGGTGGCATAGTGGCTAAAGTGCTAGACTCTGATGTAGCCTATTGTGAAAGTTTATATAAATGAAACATGAAAAGAGAATTTCCAAGTGTATTTTATTAACTATTAAAAGGTATAAAAAATTAAAAGGCTATGAAGTACCTTTGTCTAGTAAATAATGACCTTTTTCTTGGTCCTGACTCAATTGTAAAAGAACTGTATTTTTCTTTAGTCATTGGGAAAGGAAAGATAAAATAGTCCAGCAGCATTTCTTACTATAGATTTTAATTGAATCAGGAAATGCAACATCTCTTCCAGGTGTTAGTTGCCACTGGTCTTTTCACTGATGACGATGACAGTGCTGTTTGCCAGGAATTACTCTACAGTTCTTATCTCTCTAGAGACAAGAGTACATCAGTCTTGGGGCCAGCAGGTGGCATAGTGGCTAAAGTGCTAGACTCTGATGTAGCCAACCATGATTCGAGTCCCAGATCTGGTAGCTTAAAACTCATGTGCATGTGTACCCAAAATCCCAAGAGGAGAAAGGAGAGATTGTGGCATGGCCAACGCCCGGAGGGGGGATGATTTCTCATTTTCGCTCTCTCTCTCTTTAGTGAGTATAATAACCCTGTGGCAAAAACTGAAAGGAAAAAAAAAAAAAAAAAAAAAAGAGTACATCAGCCTGATTCTTGGAAACCCCTATAAGACCAAGGAGGGATCGAGAATCCAAGGAATTCATGCTGGCAAAGTCTAAACTCTCGGTAACCATCCACACCACAGGAAAGAGGGTGCTGTCTACTCACCGTCGGGGTGTTCGTATGGCTGCCAGTGGTGCTTGGTATTCTGGTACTCAAAGTGGGAGTTACGCTGCTGACACTGCTGTGCGCGGAAGTCCTCAAAGTGTCTTTGGCATTCTTCGGTATTACAAAGCTGGTATTCAAAATTAACACCGGGACAATCCTGACCACCATTGATGGGCCTAAAGAAAACAAGATTTGGGAACCAGCAGTTAGCGTAATGGCTATGTCGCTGGACTCCCACGTAGTCGACCGCGGTTCGTGTCCCGGACCCGGTGGCTTAAAACTCACGCCGGGCGCGTGTGCGTGCGTGCCCAAGATCCCGAGAAGAGAATGGAGGAGAAGGGATTGCGGCGTGACCATCCCCCCTGGGGGGTGATTTCTCGCTTTCTGTCTCTATGTCTCTCTCTGTCTGTCTGGCGAGCGCACGCGCCCTACAGTGGGAATCTCTCAGAAAAAAAAAAAAAAAAAAAAAAAAACAAGATCTCAAAGGCCTCCTGGCATTGCCCTAGGAGCTCAAGCTTGCAGACAGTGCTTGAGGGCAGAGGGCCAGAGCTTCTGTGCTGCCAGCACTAAGGGAGAGAACTCGTCCTTCCTACATTCAGTCCCTTTCCCAATTCAGTCCCTTCCCATTCAGTCCCTTCTCTCCCTGCTGGGTAGGAAAAGGAGGCTCCAAACTCAATCTAAATAGGCTTTTCAAACAGTATATTTTAAACCCATGACAAACATACATTAAAAAAAGAAAAAGCACATAGACGGACTCCCGAATATTGTTATTTTCTAACATGCACAAAATGTGTGGATGCAACTTGAAAGAAATTTTGATCATAGCTCTATAACTCATATGTAAAGTGTAAATGATAACACTATCTTCCTTAGAAAAGAAATTGTGACCTTAAATGAGTTTATATATGTACAACACCTAGGATAAACCCTGACCTATAATGAGCCTTATTAGCTGCTCTTGTTATGATAATTTCTGTTACTGTGTTAGTTCTAATACGCTCCCATCATTTCTTTCTGTGAAGGCAGGTAGGTGGCACGCCACAATCTTTATGAAAGACATGCTCGGAGCCCTTCTGCCACCAGAAACAGAGAGAAAGGATGATTTGCATGTTAAATCATAGAAAAGGGAGAATGTCTTATATGTAGTAATTCAGTTCCTTTTATTCCTTTAGAAAATAAAGTTTGCTGAGCACACGGGAGGGATGCGACAAATTTAATAAATGCATGAATAACTTCCCCTCTAAGAGTTCCTTAGAGGGAAAAAGAAAACCTGGCCTTCCATCACAATGCTGCTGCTCCCGCCTCAGCAGCAGTCACATCCCGTATGTTGGAGGAAGCAGGTCCCACTGGCTGGTTTTGCATTCCCCACCCGCAATCCCTTGTTTGTTTCTTGCAGTGGATCTCACAGTCCACACTACCCTGGTCCTGTGAGTACACTGATCTGCTTTCTCTGCTCAATTCTTTAGTATTCTGAAACAGCCAATTTCTTTAACAATTTCTAATTTTCACTTGAACTTCTCAACTTCATCATCCACTACTCTTCACAAGATTGATAGAGACTTCCCGAGAGGAGAATGGAGGAGAAGGGATTGTGGTGTGACCATCCCCCTGCGGGGGGGGTGATTTCTCGCTTTCTGTCTCTATGTCTCTCTCTGTCTGTCTGGTGAGCGCACGCGCCCTACAGTGAAAATCT